CTGTCGGGCCGCGCCAGTGGCCGGCCAGCGCCCCGCACGGGGGACACAGGGCCTGTAGCCAGGGCACCCGGACTGTGACGCCAACGCCCCGGGCCCGGGGGAGAGTGGGGGAGGGGCGCCGAGGGCGCGTGACCGCCTAGGCCGCAGCCGCTCGGGCCCGGGACGTGGACGTGGCCACCAACCGCCCACCCGGCTCCTCGACCCCCGACTCCCGCTGGGCGTCCGGATGACCGGGCCTACCGCCGGGGCCTGGCCTGCTGGCCATGGCCGTAGGCACAGAAGCCGCACACACCCTCCCTCCTGGGTGCTGGACCCAGGCCGGACACACGCTCACTCGGGCGCAGTGCCCCCGGGGAAGGCGAGAGGGTCACGCCCCAGCCTGGGGACAGAAACCGACGCCGGAACCCCCGCCCCGGCTCCCAGGCCGAACAACGGCCGGCAGGGCCGCCGCTCACCATGGTGCTGGCCAGGCCCGGCACAGCCACAGCCCCGCACAGCAGCGCAGGTTTCAGCAACCGGCAGAGGCGGGTAAAGCTCATCGCGGCGGCGGCCCGGCCTTTAGGAGCAGCGACTCCTCCCCTCACCCAGCCGGCCAATGGACGCGCCGCGCAGCGCCGCACCTCCTCGGGCCCTGCCACGCCCACCCGCGCTTTCATTGGCCGGCTGCGCCGGTACCTCTGACACGTGCCGACACTGGCCAATGGGAGGCCGGGGTGAGGGGCTGGCGCGGGGCCGCCGGGGCGGGGCCGCCTCTGCAGCTTTGTTGTTATCGGTGACTGCGCATGCTTGGCAGGCGGCCGAGTCCACACGGCGACACCTCCGCACTGTCTGAACTGTTATGCGGGGAGTTGCCAGAAATGCCATCGTTCGGCTTACAACGCGGCGAGGCGCCGGAAACCCTCCTACGAGGCCCAGCCCTCGGGGAAAGTGCTCTTAGAAACATGTGTTTTACTTAATAAAGTCAAGTTAAATCAGGTTCAAGGAGGGGAGGTCTAGCCCCTTCTCCCTCCTCGGGGCTGCAGTTTCATTGTGAAATAGCGGGTCTCCTGAGTTCCATGGGGCCCAGAGAGGCCTGGAGCCCTGAGGCCGGGGCCCCATCTTATAGGGGGCCCCAGTGATGAGGCCCAGGCGGTGCTTTGGACGCCGTCTTTGGGTTCGTCTGTGCTTACGTGGTTCGGAAGTCACACGTGGGCATGGGGCCGTGGGGACAGTTAGGAAACGTTGAAACCGGAACCACGGGGCGCCCGAAGTCCATCCTCCCTCCGGCCCCCCTCCCGC